CACATATGATCGCTTGAGAGATGCTATCTCCTGCTATCTGTTTTTCGTTTATCCACACCAATAACAGTCTCTCAACATCTTCTAACACTTGCGATCTCTGTTTCGAAAACAAAGGTGCACCTTTGGCAAGAACAGCTTCCCTAATTGCCATTTTCTTGGCCACATTAGTAGCGATGGCTGATTGGGGTTTTGTGTACAACCTGGCCAGCTCGGAGACACGCACTCCACTTTCATACTTAGCAATGATCTCTTTCTTCATATCCATAGTAATTCTCACCCTTTTTAAAAAGTTGTAGGGTTTTCACTAGAAGCTTTCTTGGGGCCCATGGTGACTTATTTTGCAGATGCAATCACTAAAAAGGTTGTGATAATATGAAATGTTCCGATTGTATGCTTGGAAGCGACAGCGGTGGCTGGCTTGTAAACACTTGCACCCACGGAATAAGTGAGGCGGGCTCAGACCGCACGTGGACAGGTCTCGAACGAATCGCATTGACCGAGTTTTTTAGCGCTAGCCGAGGCAAAATTTTTGCATTAAAATGTATAGCTAGGCAGATTTAGCGTTATGCGGTGCGTTCGTTAGGCGAGGGTCCACTGTACTACTCCCTCCTCTCTTTCTACCACTCCTGTGCACTGTTCCACTCGTATATATTCTGGATCCATTTCATTCATGCTTCTCTGTGTAAATAGTTAATGGTCCAATGTCGTCATAAATTTCAGTCTCTTATGTACGGGTTATTTGTGTATAACAATTCAAATGACTCTCCGAACCTCAGCAGCCCAATCCATCCTTCAGAGCGCATGGAATGTGTCTTGCTTCCAGAACTTATGCACAGCTAACCAAGTTTCATTAAATCCCTTCATCCAACACCATGTCAAATACCAAAACCCACTTGTGTATACTCACTTAACTCTAACACACTCACACATGGTTGCTGGATGCTCAAGCCCTTAGAGCTCAAAACCTTCCAACAAATACTAGGACATCCCCTTCTATAACCTCAGAATTATGAACATTTTCTGGTCAACCTATCCTGTTCTATCCCATCTACATTACAAACCATCTCTCCTTCAATCTCTGGACTATATTATGTCTTTCTATAGTATACAATAACAAAGCTAACAGTTATGCTTCATGCCCTCAATCTCTGAGAGATGCCTGTCATCTGCATACAACATGTTTAATATATGGTACATACAACCCTGATGTATCCAAAATTAAAAAAAAGTTGCTTATTTCAGCATCAACTATCCTTTCATTCAAAAAACTGTCTAACTGCCCCTCTGTTAACCCTTTCAGGGTTTCCGATGTACTAGTACGGCTTACGCACCAGGGTTATTGATGTACTAGAACGCCTAAATTCTAGCGCCTTCAAATCTAGTGAGAGAAAGCTGGTAGGCCTACATATGAAAGAATGGGTCTATGTGGTCAGTGTGCACAGAATAAAAAAAATCCTGCAGAACACAGTCCATAATGAGAAAAAAAACTCTGACCGTGTTTTTGGTTTAAAACAGCGATATGCAGCGTATTTTCATATGGTATTTATGGTTGCATTCTAGTTTTCCTGGTCTCAATTTATAGAATGGAAGACATATTACAGAAATTGAGATGATTTTGATTGGTTTCATAATGAAAAGTACCTTGAAATTGAGCTCAAATTAGCAGAAATGTTCGATTTTTACCAAATTTCAAAAGTAAACAAATCATGCTAAGCATCCAACACACGTCAACTGGTGAGTCTAATATTCTTTCACAAGTGCACTGATATTATTTATACCATTTCTACACCATTTCTACACTAATGCAGTAGTCTGCATAACAGTAAATCTTCTATTTTTTGTGATAATAAAAATTCAAAGTGGAAAGCAAAAGAGATGTAAGAAGAGCCTGGGGATATGACTAATGAACAGAGAAAATGTTACTTTCGTGCCAGGAATGTCTGTCTTGCTTATTCTGGACCCTATTTGGAAATTAGCGTCTTCTAAAATTTGTGTGAAATTGACAAAATTGCCAATTTCTGATCACTTTGTTGGATACCTGAAATCGGTAAATGGGTAGTTTCTTGTACTCATTCGATAGAAAAAATGGAGTTCTAGCGAAATAGATATGATTTTTGTTCACTAGTACACTGAAATTGGCCAAAAATAGGGCTCAAAGTTGCCGAAATTGCCGATGTGTAAACATTGTCGAAACCGCTAACTTCGCGAGAGCATAATTCCGTAAGTTTTCCATCAAATTTCATACTTTTTGTGTCATTATGATCAGGAAAAGTTTCTCCATCATTTCATAAGAAAATATAATTTTTTTTCCGAAAAATTTTCGACCCTGAGAACGAGTTTAGGAGAGGGCCTCTTGACCATGAAAGGGTTAACTCTATTATGATTCAACAGAGACCGTGTACAGTAGACCGTCGTCTAACACGGTAGTTACATTCCTGAAAATGCCGTGTTAGACAAACTGAAAAACTTATGGGAAAAATAGGGTTACATTCCTTGGAACCCCCAAAAAGCCAAACTTTTTTTTTTCGACCTTTAGATCTAACAAAAATAAGAGGCATATGTAATTGTAGTTCATTGTCATGATGTATTATGTTTTGTTACTGCTTAAGACTACAAATGCAACAGAAATAATAGTATTTCTTACCTTAAATTGTGGGTGCTGGTGTTTGTCGGTGATTGTGAAGAGAGTGGAGAGTTATGCTGTGACCCTACTGGGCTGAGGTGGATTGTAGAGATTCTGGTACTGAGGTCGATGGTTGTACTGGAGTGTGCATAAATTCTGTAATGGATGTCTGTTCTATTTTACCATGCAGTACATTATGCAAGTGACGGTAAGGCATCAGCTGCTCTATATACAGTTTCAGGGTCCTCTGCAGTGAAAAAAATCTATCTTTAAGTCATTCAGTAAATCAAAGTCAGTCAAATTAGTAAGCCAGTCAGTCAGTCAGTAAATCAGTCAGTCAAGTCAGTCAGTCAAGTCAGTCAGTCAAGTCAGTCAGTCAAGTCAGTCAGTCAAGTCAGTCAGTCAAGTCAGTCAGTCAAGTTAGTAAGTCAAGTCAAGTCAAATCAAGTCAAAGTCAGCCAGTAAAGTCAGCCAGTCAGCTAATTCCTAGACTTGAACACTTAAAACCTTTTCTTGTCACTTGCGGGAACACTTGTATGCTTACTGGGTGCCATGATTGCTTGGCAGATTTAACAAATGGCAATGAAAATAAGAAAATATACATATGTAAATAAACACAGTGAGCCTCCCGAGTATTTTGTTCTACACACGTATGAACCAAACTGAAGGCTGGGAGGGTGGTGTGGGTGGATGTGGGTGGGTGTGGGTGGCTGAGGGAGACCTACCGCCATGCCCCGCCACCCTCAGCCACCCACCCACCCTTCAGTTTGGTTCATATGTGTGTAGGACAATAATACTGTACTCGGGAAGCTCGCTGTATTTATTGACATATATATTTTCTTATTTTCATTGCCATTTGTTAAATTTGCCAAGCAATCATGGCATCCAGTAAGCATACAAGTGTTCCTGCAAGTGACAAGAAAAGGTTTAAGCATTCAAGTCTAGGAATTACAAAGAAAATTGAGATACTAAATAAGCTTAAGAGTGGCCCTAATGAAGTATCTGTTCGTACAATTAAAAAGAACGTACAATTAAAAAGAACTAGCTGATTAGCTGACTCGACTTACTGACTGGCTTACTGACTGACTTGACTGATTTACTGACTTGACTCAATGGTGTAACCCACAGACCAGCCCACCCGGCGGGTGACCGCTCGCTCAATATTTTTTTCCCCTCCCGCAACCGTGTTAAACTAATTTACGAAGTGTTAAACAAAAATATGCCGCAATTCTTCAATTGTGCTATAACCAAAACATGCAAGGCAAAAACCGTGTTAAACGACGGTCTACTGCATATCTTGCAACCTTGCTCAACAATATTCACTCTATATATCTAACACATCCTAGGTAGTAGGTTGGTAGACAGCAACCGCCCAGGGAGGTACTACCGTCTTGCCAAGTGAGTGTAAAATGAAAGGCTGTAATTGTTTTACATGATGGTAGGATTGCTGGTGTCTTTTCTCAGTCTCATAAACATGCAAGATTTCAAGTACGTCTTGCTACTTCTACTTACACTTAGGTCACACTACACATGCATGTACAAGCATATATATACACACCCCTCTGGGTTTTCTTCTATTTTCTTACTAGATTTTGTTCTTGTTTATTTCCCCTTATCTCCCTGGGGAAGTGGAGCAGAATTCTTCCTCCGTAAGCCATGCCTGTCATAAGAGGCGACTAAAATGCCGGGAGCAAGGGGCTAATAACCCCCTTCTGTATACATTACTAAAGTTAAAAAGGGAAACTTTTGTTTTTCTTTTTGGATCACCCTGGCTCGGTGAGATATGGCCGGTTTGTTGAAAGAAGAAGATCTAACATTTGCTTTACTTCGCTATAAAAGCAAATTGTTCACCACTTCCCTTCCAAACAATCTTCTGATAAATTTCCCTAACCATCCAATTCCTGGCCCTAGACTACATAAACTAATTTCTCATAAACCTAATTCACACTCTATACTTCCTCACACTTTAACTTCTACAATGATACTCTTTTGATATTCCAATTCAGCTCTCTTCTTACATTAGCAGTCAGTTAGTTACATGTTTTCACTAATGACATTTACTATGCTCATCATACTCTTAAAATGCTTTCTTAGTTTGCTTACAATGTCTTAATTACCAATTAATATTCCCTCATTCTTATTCTTTATGATCTTGTTCATTTTACTCATCTCCCAGCATCATTTACAAACACTGTTCCAAAAGGGTTTCACAGTAAACTGATAATTTTAATATACATGGAAAATGCTAAGCCCATCAGGGTAATTCAGCTCATGCTATCTCGAGACATTTTAAAGCTTAATTCCTTATATAATTCATGAACATTACTTCGCAATAGGGTTTAATGTTATCCAAGACAACATTTTTCAAGACACAAACCTTCTTCCTTCATTGCATCTCGAAAGCCCCTGGTTGTAGGAGTAATCAGTGCATGAGCTTGTGAAATCCCTGCTACTCCTGCTGCTCGGAATAAACATGTGAATGTTGGCCCACACACATAAAAATATGGACACTGACGTACTCTTAAAAGCTGGTGAAGTGAACGAAGACTTTCACTCCTGTTCAAAGAAAAATAAGAAATTTACCAATCATTTAAAAACTGGAGACTTTTTACTGCAGTCAAGGTTAAACAACTTGAGTTCATCAATCTGCATGAATTTCTATATACCAATACTGTGTTGTTTACCTGGTTTACACATTAAGAGAAGACTGCAGATTTTGTACTTAACTTTTTGTAAAATAATAAACAAGAAGAGAAGCAACTTTCAGAGCAACACCCACAAACCACATTATCAGCAACAACATGCAAGAACTGCTGGTCTCAATTACTGATGATATATACATGCAACTTATTATTGAAAGGATTAGAGATAAGACAGAATGTAGGACTGCAGATGAGCAAGGTGGTTTAGAGTGGGTACGGGATGTGTAGATCAAGTGTTTACACTGAAGCATATATGTGAACAGTATTTAGATAAAGGTAGGGAAGTTTTTATTGCATTAATGGAGTTAGAAAAGGCATATGATAGAGTGGATAGGGGAGCAATGTCGCAGATGTTGCAAGTACAGTGGACCCGCCTTATGATATTAATCTGTTCCTCAGAGCTCATCTTAAGCCGAAATTATCGTTAGCTGAACTAATTTTCCCCATAAGAAATAATGGAAATCAAATTTATCATTTCCTGACACCCCAAAGTATGAAAAAAAAAAAATTTCCACATGAAATATTAATTTTAATACACACAAACTGAAGAAGACATGCACAATTACTGCTCTACTAAGAATAGAATACATGACACTTACCTTTATTGAAGATCTGGTGATGACTGATGGGATGGGAGGAGGGAAGAGTGTGGAAGTTATTGTTTAGAAGGAGAATCCCCTTCCATTAGGATTTGAGGTAGCAAGTCTTTTTCCGGGGCTACTTCCCTTCTTCTTTTAATGCCACTAGGACCAGCTTGAGAGTCACTGGACCTCTGTCGCACAACAAATCTGTCCATAGAGCTCTGTACCTCCCATTCCTTTAAGACTTTCCTAAAATGGGCCATAACATTCTCATTGTACAGGTTGCCAACACGGCTTGCAGTAACTGCATCAGGGTGATTTTCATCCATAAAGGTTTACAGTTCAACCCACTCTGCACACATTTCCTTAATCTCTTTTTTCAATTCCATACTAATTCTCGCCCATTTTACCACCGGGATGGTACTAGAAGCTTTCCTGGGGTCCATGGTGACTTATTTTGCAGTTACAAGTACTAAAAACACTGCAAAAATGTGAAATGTACCGAATGTATGCGTAGATGCGACCACACTGGCTGGCTTGTAAACACTGGCGCTGAGGCCACATTTAGGACGTGTCTTGGACGAATCACGTAAGGCAAGTTTTTTATCGTGAGGCGAGGCAAAATTTTTGCGTTCAAATCCTTCGTACGGCGGATTTAACGTAACGCGATGCGTTCATAAGGTGGGGGTCCACTGTATGTGGAATACGTGGTAACTTACTAAATGCTGTAAAGAGTTTTTATGAGGATAGTGAGGCTCTGGTTAGGGTGTGTAGAAGAGAGGGAGACTACTTCCCGGTAAAAGTAGGTCTTAGACAGGGATGTGTAATGTCACCATGGTTGTTTAATATATTTATAAATGGGGTTGTAAAAGAAGTAAATGCTAGGGTGTTCGGGAGAGGGGTGGGATTAAATTATGGGGAATCAAATACAAAATGGGAATTGACACAGTTGCTTTTTGCTGATGATACTGTGCTTATGGGAGATTCTAGAGAAAAATTGCAAAGGTTAGTGGACGAGTTTGGGAGTGTGGAAAAGGGTAGAAAGTTGAAAGGAACATGAAAAGAGTAAGGTGATGGGGGTATCAAATATTTAGATAAAGAAAATGGATATCAAATTGGGGGGAAGGAGTAGGGAAAAAAGAAAAATTTTTCAGTTTATTTGGGGATTTGCGTGTCGCGGATGGTTTATGAAGGAGGGGTTTTAACCCTTTTGAGGTTCGGCCTCTAGTACAGTTTTACATGCCGGGGTTTTTTTGACGTATAGTACGCAAAAAATTCTAGCGCACTAAAATTGCAAGGAAGCTGGTAGGCCTACATAGAAAGAATGGGTCTATGTGGTCGTGTGACGTAAAAAAAAAAAATCCGGCGCCACAATGCGAATGAAAAAAAAAAACTTTGTGTTTTTTGGTTTAAAAAACAGCGACTTTGCCACGTATTTTATTGGGTATTTATTGTTGTATTCTAGTTTTCCTGGTTCATTGAAAGATGGAAGACATATTATTTAAATTGAGTGTTTTTTAATGGTTTTACAATGAAAAGTACCTTGAAACTGGCTAAAAGTGCAGAAATTTCGATTTTAACCAATTTTCGTTTTTAACAAAGTTCAAAAGTAAAATCATGCTAAGGTCCAATACACATAATGGTGGTTAATATTCTTTCACAATCGCACCGATATTATTTATACTTTCTACCTAAGCAGTAGTCTGCATAACAGTAAATCTTATTTTTTTTGTGAGAATAAAAAATCAAAGGGGGAAAACAAAAGAAATGTAAGAAGGCCCGGGGGACTTGACAAAGAACGAGGAAATGTTATTTTAGTGCCGGAATGTTTTCTTGTTTATTGGACCTTTTGGAAATTGGCTTTTTTTTAAATTTTTGTGAAAAATTGGAAAAATTTGAAAAATTCTGCCCACTTTATTGGATAGTTGAAATCGGTAAAGGGGTGGTTTCTTTATCTTTCGATAGAAAAAAGGGGAGTTCTAGGAAATAGTTATGATTTTTTTCGACTACCCAAAAATGGAATTTGGCCCGAAAATGGGGTCAAAAGTGAGAAAAAATCGAAAATGCGCAAACATCGTTGAGCCCGCTATCTTTGCGAGAGCAAAATTTTTTGAAAGGGTTTTCCTCAAATTTTATTTTTGGTGTCTTATTAGGAAAGTTCTCTCCCTTTTAAAAAGAAAAAAAAATTTTTTTTTTTTTAAATTTTGGCGCCCCTGAGAAAAAATTATAAAACCCCACACTTTTTGCAGTGACACCACATAGTCTTTTCCCCCGACCCCGTCACCTAGCCAATACTGTAAAACACCGAATTACAGAAAAATCTACCTGGATGGGCTAACAAATTACACTAAACTTTGACAAAACCTACTTATTCAGTTTGGTAGCAGAGCTACAGTGACCTTTAAATATGAAAAACGGATCCCCTTACAAAGCAACAGGGGAAAATTCTTAGGAATCCACCTCGATAATGACCAAATTTCATACACTATACAACAAATTTTCTAAAAAAAATTTCCAAGAGTAGGCATACTATCGAAGATACGGTAATGTTCAACAGTCAGCCCTTGGCCCTTTATCACTCTCTTATTTCCCCCTATTCACCTATGGAATTTGTGCTGGGGTCCTAACAAAACTAACCTCTCGACCACTAATTCCCCAACAAAAGGCTGCAGTTAGAATGATAAAAAAATTTCAAAAGGGCAGCACACCCACCATATTAAAAACACTCAACCTATCACCATACAAAACATCTTACTTTTTTGCCTTTTTTACTACTAGAAAAATTTAAACTCTGTTATTAACCCTCCCCTCAAACTCTCCTTCCCAAACCTCAAAGAAAAACATGACCAAAAATAAAAGGCACAATCACTCTTCATGTTCCTCGTGTCCATCTCCCCTATGCAAAAATCATGCACATAAAACCCCTAAAATTGGGAATTCATTACCTGTAAATATAAAAGAAACAACTGTTTTTAAATTAAAGTTCTTTCAAAGTTCACTTATCTTAAAAAACCCAAAATAAAACGTTTAAACTGACCATTAAAATTGTATATCCCAAATGTTACTCACAATTATATACACAAATGTTAAAACCCAACTTTGTTATTTTTTTTTTTTTTAAATACATCCTAAAAGTACCCATTCTACTGAAGAACAGCCAATGCATGCAACCCTATGACTTCTTTAATACTCATTTGTATTTTATGTATTGTTTAAATAAGTCTTATCCGATTTATCATTGCTTAGTTAATCTTAACTTAATTTTAAACCCGCCCGTAATGCTATGCTGTAAATGTTTTTGGGATGCTGCTCTTTCCTGTATTTTTTTGTACCTCTGTAGTTGCAAAAATTTTTATAAAAAAATAAAAAATAAAAAGAGGGCCCGGCGACCCCCAAAGGGGTTTAATCATAGAAAAGATGAGGGAAAAAAAGGGAGAGGTGGTTGAGGTATATGTGGGACATAAACGTTATCTTGGAGGCAAAGAATGGAAATGTATGAAAGATAATAGTATTATAGTAGTGAAGCTTTGGGTTTTTAAATGCTGTAGCAAGGGGCAGTTGGGGCAGTGGAGATGTCCCGTCTAAGACAATATGTGGTGCAAATATTTTGCGAAAATCGGAGGTGGAAAATTTGGAGAAGGTGTGGAGTTCATAAAAATATTGTCAGAGGGGGTGAAAAGGGGGTTGTTGAGGGGGTTTTGGGCATTTAAGAGAATGGATCAAGTAGAATGACATGGGAACATTTAAATCAGCAGGGGAAGGAAGGCGGGGGTAGGGGTCGTCCCCGAGAAGGGGTTTGGAAAGGGGGGGGGGAAGGGGGTTTTGTGGGCGGGGGGTTGGATTCCACAGGCGTGGGTGAGAGTGTTCGATAGGAGTGAATGGAGACGAATGGTACTTGGGACCTGACAACCCGTTGGAGTGAGCAGGGTAATATTAGTGAAGGGATTCCATAGAAACCCGGTTTTTTTTATTATGGGTCGAGTCCCGGAAATGGGGAAGTACAATGCCCTTTACTCTAAAGGAGGGGTTGGGATATTGGCGTTTGGAGGGATTGTTGTGTATCTTTATAATTTAAGCTTCTAAGTTTTGTGTTCGGGAACCCGTCAAAAAAAAGGATTATGTGTGAAGGGGGTGAAAGGTTGAAGATGATGAAAGTATTTTCTTTCTTTTTGGGGCACCCTGCCTCGGTGGGAGACCGGGGAGATTGTTGAAAAAAAAAAAAAAGAACTTTTGTTTTTATATTGGAGTACCAAAAGGGAAAAAATTTGACTAG